TCTTTTCAATTGTAGGTCATTTATAAGAAAAATTATATAATTATAATATTACTTAATATTATAAATTTATAATATAATATATTATTATATAATTATTCTTTTTAATTAAAAATTTATTTGTGATATTATATGTATTTACTCGTTTATTATCATATAATATTTTATTTAATACTATATAAGATTGTAACTTTATAATCTTACATTAATGCTTAATGCAAAGATAGGATTGTCTTGACACCTTTTATTAATACTTAATAATATGATGTATATGGGTTAGAATACTTCTTATACTCAATAAATGAAATGATTTTTTTGGCTTTTCAAAAAAAAAAATTATAAGTTTATAATCTTGATTTCTCAGCCTGTATTGCTAGCATCTCCTTCCTTCTCTTTTCTATTGAAGATACTAAGCATGGCCTTAATACTTGGAAACTTTTCCTCTCAACGTTTCCCTTCAGTGCCCGGTCTTTCTTCCATGCAGAGAACTACTCCATCTACTAAATTTCCTGTGGCTTCCATCGCCCATCCGCCAAAGTCTAAGTCAGCACACCTTGTCCTTTTATTGTATATGTTGCGAAGCTCTTTTTATTTTTATTTTTATTATTATTTGGCTTACCTTTTAAATAAATTTCCATGCATATATATACCAAAGTCTTTATTAATTAAAATCCATAAAATTACTGGTTTTGATATTGTTACTAATTGGCATCTATGGATAAAATATAAGCAACAACCCAAATTGCCTCTTGTGCAGAGATTCTAGCAAACTCATAATCAAGAAGCCTTGCTTGTCAACTGAAAAGATTGAAATCTTCAAATCCTTGGATGATTATTGGTCGGAGAAGAACCTTTTAATTCACCTGAAACCGGTCGAAAAATGTTGGCAACCACAGGATTTCCTACCGGATCCAACTTCAGACGGGTTCATAGAGCAAATCGGGGAAATGAGAGAAAGAGCAAAGGAAATTCCTGATGAATATTTTGTTGTGCTGGTGGGAAACTTGATCACGGAAGAAGCCCTACCAACATACCAAACAATGGCCAATAGGCCTGAGGGAGCTCAAGATGAAACTGGGGCCAGCCTCACTCCTTGGTCAATTTGGTCAAGGTCATGGACAGCTGAGGAGAACCGGCACGGTGATCTTCTCAACAGGTATCTCTATCTATCTGGACGAGTAGACATGAGGCAAGTTGAGAAGACAACTCAATATCTAATAACATCTGGAATGGTAAGACTCTTCTCTAAATGGCTGGTAAAAAAAATTTGTTAATTATAATAAAAACTTGATTAATTAATTTGCTATATATCCTTTTTGCTTTACAGGATACTGGCATAGGGAACGACCCATATCTATTAGCCATTTACACATCATTTCAGGAGAGGGCAACTGCTATCTCCCATGGGAGCATGGGGAGGCTGGCCAAGGAGAAAGGAGACCTGAAATTGGCTCAAATCTGTGGCATCATCGCAGCAGATGAAAAGCGCCATGAGACGGCCTACAGTAAATTAGTAGGAAAACTGTTCGAGGTTGATCCAAATGGAACTGTCCTGGCTTTTGCACACATGATGAGGAGAAAAATCACCATGCCAGGTGAGTACATGTATGACGGTTGCAACGACAACCTTTTCATGGACTATTCTGCTATTGCACAGGGTGTTGGGGTTTACACTTTGGGAGATTATATTGATATATTGGAGGTCCTGGTGGAGAAGTGGAAAGTCAAGGATCTTACTGGACTTTCAGCTGAAGGGCAAGAAGCTCAGGAATTTGTCTGTGATCATTTACCTCGAAGACTTAGAAGGCTGGAGGAGAGAGGTGAAAGGAGAGTTAAGAAAAGACAAGCTCTTCCATTTAGCTGGATTTTCAACAGAGCAGTTTAAATTCATAAAGAAAGAAAAGAAGCAAGATAGGCAGTATGGAATGAAAGAGCTTTTTCCTTCTCGTTGTTTAGCAGTATTTTTTCTCTTTTAAATTTTAAAATTTAAAGGAAAGTATTGTATTTTAGCGTTTAAATTAGTTATAAGAACGTTATTTTGGTCCAAACCGACCTTTTTTTGAAAAAACTTATTAATAAGTATTTTAAATGTTAAAAAATAGTGTTTTCTTCTGCTTTCTATTTTAAAATATAAATTATTTATTTTTTTTTATTTATTTTTAGGTCATATTTTTTTAATAGTATATAAATGATAATTAATTTTTTTTTATCAAATGAAATTACTTAACAAGAGTTAAGTATAGAAAGGAAGAAGAAGAAGAAGAATATCTCAATTATCATTCATATATTACAAAAATATTATTTAAAATTATGTATAAAAAATTTAAATAACTTATATTTTGAAACAAATGGAGTGATACTTTTTTAATTTGTAAAAAAAAAAAAAAAGTACTTAAAAACAAGTTGAATAATAAATTTTGTGAAATGGGCTCAATTATCAAAATCATGCTTTCAGGTTTATGAGAGATTTTATTGAAATTCTTGATTGCTATTTGGTCGGCAATGCCATGCAGTGATTTTAAGTTGGTTTAATCACTGCCAATGAAGAGTTAACAAATTATTGTGTGAAAACTGCATTGACTAATCATCAAGATAAGAGGCACATTTGTTTCATTTGCATACATTTTAAAACCAGAAATCCAGACTACGAGTATGGGAAAACAATGCACGATTTTAGCAAGAAGGAAATTTTCTATAAATTTTGCAAGATTATTCTCACATCTTCGACTCATTCAGTTGTTTGGCCAAAAAAATAAGTAAATAAATAAAGAGACATTGGTTTAATTTAACAATGCTATTTGGTGTTATCCTATAACTATAATTATTAGAGATATTGTATTGTACTATCGCGAAAAACATTTTAGCGTTTGGTAATTGTATTTTAAAAAAATTATTTATTGTAAAACTACTCAATTATAGATATTATTATTTAAAATTAAACTAATTAATAATTTAATATATAATGTATGAAAAAAAATTTAAATTTTTATTAAATTATTTAAAAATTCTATTAATTTTAGATAAGATGACATTTATATTTCTTTCTAAAAAAGTAAGAATGGATAATTTATCAAAATATAAGTTACAAAAAATTTTGTAAATATGTGTAAAAAGTACTGTAGCTAGTGCCGTTAAACTAAGTTATTGAGTTGCAAATTCAAGGTTCAATAAGTTGAATAGAGGAAGAAAGGTACTTGTAGACATTGGAAAGAACCAAGTATTCTTGATTCTTCCTATGTTACTTCATTTCCTAGTAACCTCAAAGCATCAAGAACATGAACAGCCAGATAAACAGCCAGCAAACCTTTCTTTGTAACCATCTACACATAACACAGTGCAACATGAAAAACTACTTCTCTTAAGTTAACTGCCAATAATTTCCAACAGTAAGAAGTTTATATGACCATCTTCATCTCTGCACTTGATAACACCCTGCACTTTCTGATTAGTGGAGATTGAAAAGAATGAATCATATCCCTAAGCAATGAGCGAATATATGACACCAAACCTAGTTTCTGTTAATTTCAAACAGAGATCATATCAAGATCATTTTGAAAAGATTATATAGTAATGCATTGCCATGCAAAAAAATAAAAAGTAATGGATTTACCACAGGATCCCGGATAGCCAATAGGCAAAACATTCCAAAAGAGAAAAAACGATAGAATTGAGTGATTGACATATAAACAAATTCAAAAAAGAAAGAATTTTCCATCATTATGTTATAAGTGTTTTTCTTTTTTTTTTCCCTTCTGGGCTTGATGTTTCAAATTCCATCCACTGTTGTCCACTCACTCTTTTTCATTTTAGGCATGCAGTTGTTAGATTCATCTAAAAAAAAAAAAATGCAGCTCTTAGTGCTTAAGTAGCCCTTCTAAGCACATACCTTGAGTGGCATAGAATCTAATTCTAATTGTTAGTTGACTTGCATTTTGCATTTTTTATATAATGAACCTAACATACTTACCCTCAATGTCATCAGCAGACAAAACAGCCTGCACCTCGCAACAAGTTCTTACTTGACAACCCCGGTTCTCAAGCTCTACTTTGACCTGATACAGTCAATTATGCAATCCTAAATAATTTTCTTTGAGCTTATATACAAAACAAATGAACGTGATTCAGAATTTCAAATATTTGGAACTGAGGAAGAAAGATCCTTTGGTTACTTTGTTGAATCAGAACGGAAAATTTTGCTTGTTTTGAGGATTCTCCTTAGCCAGTTGTATGTAGATCATGAGAGTGTTAACAGAACACAGCTGTTTTATGTGTATGAAAGAAAAAGTGGGTAGAAGTGGAATGACTTTGAGATCGTGCTGTGTTTGTTGGTGTAAATCATTCTGTCTCAATGTCGACGAAAGATCTCCAGACTTGTGAAGGGAACTCGATTTACTTCACTGGTAATTATTGGCTTGATGTGCTGTGGTCGAGCATGACACTGGAATATACAGCTTGGAAGATGGAAATTTGTGGTCGGTTTTTGAATTTGAGCCATCCTGTTAGGTTGTTCCAAGTCACTACTGGAAATACAATGCATGAGGCATTACTTTCAAATTTCAAATTCTTAATTATTGTTACACAAAGTGTTTCTTTTGGACTCGCAGTTCAAAAAAAAAAAA